GGGGGGGGGGGACGGTATTCGAGGTCAAATAATGTTTATGTTTGGCTGTGTGATCGGAGAAGTGTCAATTCCAACATTTCAAATAAGCCTCCCCGGGGGAGGGACAATGAAGCACATCGTCAGAGTATAACTCCATGGTTTATTGAATAATACTACATGTACTTTACCATTTACATGTTGTAACTACAACTGCAAATTCTATTACCACCTATTATCCTATTTACGTTACAACATTCGCGTCAAGAAACTAATTTCCGACCCAACCGAACAGAACCTATTTTTAAACGGAACCCAAGCTGACCTATTTACAACGGTCGCATTAAAATTTCCCGCTGGTACTTAAACGACTTACACGTTTACACTTAAACGAATACTAATCTGACCGAACTGGTCCATTAAGACGGCTACAAGCTTTGAGTAATTGCTTTGCTGATATAGCCTCAGATGCGTAGTCATCCCATAGCTCGAAAAATTTTAATTTGAAGACGACGGTTAAGTTTGCCTTTGAATTCGTTGTAGCTTACGATCACAGACCAGTCTTACTTGTATTGCTAACAGTTTGGCTTCTTTATGGAGGTGCTGGATCAGGATATAGAACGGGATATGTACTCTGCCTCCAGCGCGTTGGTTAAGGCCGTTATCCCAGCCCTCTAAATCGTTATTTGTGAGGACGGCTTGTCCATAAACGCTCCAGGCTTTGGGCGGGAAGATGGTGCTGTCAACTCAGTTGTTCTGAATTTCTCTAGGGCCTCGGTGCAGGCACTCACTTACAATTTGGCGAAGGCTGCTGGCATCTCGGCGTCTGGCAAGAATGGCAGTGCCATCAGCTTCCTGAGGAGTCGGTGGGTGCCACCATCCTGGTAATAGGCAACTGTACACTGTAAGTCCTAGCTCTTGGACCTATAAATAAAACAAATTAGAAAATTATCAAAGCCTGCCCGCTTTACTAGTATATCTTTTTAGTTTCGTTTGGAAAACTGGCATAAATGTTTCCTTTGTGGATTTGACTAAAATGTGTGAATTTGTTTCTGGTTGATTTTTAGAGATATTGTGATGGCATTTAAATCAAGTTACGATAGATTGGATCTACAAATAAAACAAATTCTAAAATCAACAAAGCCTTCCCGCCTTCTATCTTAGAGACCTAGCGTCTCCTTTGCAAATATAATGTAAATACAACGTATAATTTTTGTTTTTGGTTGATTTTCAGAGATATTGTGATGGGAAATTAATTTAGTCACAATACAAAATAGCTAACCTTTCTCCACACCGCCTGGGTCCAATGGAAAACACATCCCATGATAACCGCCTCTGGCAGAACCGTTTTAACTGCGGACCACATTGCGCTCTCAAAGTCTAGCACTACCCTATTGACTGATGGCTCATTGGGAAGCTGATCGACAATGGCTCTGAGAACCTACAAAAACCGAAAACGTAGTTAACTGAGGTTGTAGGTAAGAACATATGTCAAGTCATCACCTTGGAGTATTTATTTACCATTTTTAGTGCCCACTTTAACATGCAGGTTTATCAATAGACCCAATGCAAAAATGGCCGCTCTGACTTAATTAAATTAATTGATCTATCTTGCGAGTTGCATGAGGTGTGTTTGTTACAATCTTAGCTAAGCCACAATAAAGCTTACCTTCTTGTAATCACTCTTCTTCTTTCCAGACACCGGGACAAATACCAGGGGAACTTGCTTTGCCGACTCCTCTGCCCGTGCAAACGCATTGATGGTGACCAGTTGGGTGAACGACTTTCTGACAAGCTTGAACGTCCCATCGATCAGTGTACCATTGCTCTAACTGCTGGGCGGTGGCGAATACAACATGTCGTGGGTCTTTCACGCGTACGCCAACACGCAGGAAATCAGATGGAATGTGGTCTTCATCTATCTCGAAATCCAGGTCTTTTGGATCGTCCGGTTGCAGACGCTGACGTGGCCGCCGCTATAACCAGGTGCAGTGGCTTGCTCAGCGCAGGGCATGGTGCTGGAGTAAGTTCGACCGGTTACCACCTCGACAAGTATATTGAGGAAGGAAATATAGAAAATGAAACACATTTGGTCGCCAATTACTCCCTAATTTACGTTATTAAAATTTCGGGCGAAATAACTTCTGGTCGGGGCGAATCAACTTTTTTGGGGGGCGAAACGCAAAGTTGGGGGA